CTTTGAGGAGCTATTACAGAACAGTACAAGCTATCTGTGTGCAATCATGTAAAGTGACAGCAGTGTTCTCACTGTGTGTTTGAAGCTGTAAGTGCTTAGGAAGTATCACTGATTTCTGGACTATTTGGGTCTGTTGTAAGGAAGTCGTAGCGAGGAATTGCGAAAGAACACTTGAGTGGGTGAGTGAAGGAGTTTGGCTGGAACATGGATGGTGTCCTTTGACTTTGGTCTTAGGTTCTTAATAGTGAAGAGTGACAGGGAAAGTCATACTTTAGGAAGACTGATTTTGGGGTTGGAATCTTGGTGCATAAGCAAGGGTGCCTGAGTTTTGATCCTGTGCACCCCTGCAAAAACTGACAGGGTCTCATAAGCCTGTAGCGAGAGTGCTGCAAGGGAATGAGGAGAGGGAGGATTGTTGGGGGCTCACCCTGCCAGCCTAGTGAACACAGTGAGGTTCGGGTTCTATAGAAACTGTCTCAAGGGAATATGGTAGAGCGACTGTCATCTTTCTTTGGCCTCCACCGAAGGTCTTTTTTTTTTCTCTCTCAGAGACAGGGTTTCTCTGTATTGTTTTGGAGGCTGTCCTGGAACTTGCTCTGTAGACCAGGCTGGCCTTGAACTCACAGAGATCCACCTGCCTCTGCCTCCTGAGTGCTAGGACTAAAGGTGTGCGACACCAACTCCTGGCATGAAGGTAAAGCTATGATTAGGAGTGAGATGGTTCATTGGGTAAAGGTATATCACAGCCTGAGTTCCATTCCCAGGATCTACAAGGTGGGTGGAGAGAACCATCTTCCAGAAATTGTCCCCTGACACTCAAAATAAGTCAAATGTAATAAAAAGTTAAAAATAAAAAATTCAGTATTTGATGCCTTCCTTAAACTGTTGAGTACTGGCCAGTGACTGTCTTTTTTTTTGTTTTGTTTTGTTTTTTGAGACAGGGTTTCTCTGTAGCTTTGGAGGCTGTCCTGGAACTCACTTTGTAGACCAGGCTGGCCTCGAACTCACAGAGATCCACCTGCCTCTGCCTCCCGAGTGCTGGGATTAAAGGCGTGCGCTACCAACGCCCGGTTCGCCAGTGACTGTCTTATGCTTACTGCTTCTCAGTTCTGTTTGTCTAACCTTGCTGAAGGATTATTGAATTAAAACTGAAAGCTCAAAGAACAGTTTATTTGTTGCAAGAACCCTAGGCATGGATTAGAGTTCAGGTAATGAGAATGAGATAGAGATAGGGAGGATGTGAAAGGCCAGCATTTGGGAGGTTGAAGTAGAGGAGGATGGAGAATTCAAATCTAGCCTTGGTTGTGTTGTGAGACCTTGTTTCCAAAAGGGCGGTGGGAAGGTGGGAAATTGATAGATTGCTAGTTGGGGAGATGAATGATTTTTGGACACCATAATAGTTAAAATGATAGTTACATATCAAAGTTCTGTGGGGATTGAAATGTTGATGTGGTTTATCTTTCTCTGCCTTTCTTTTTTTTTTTTTTTTTTTTTTTTTTTTTGGTTTTTCGAGACAAGGTTTCTCTGTGGCTTTGGAGGCTGTCCTGGAACTCACTCTGTAGACCAGGCTGGCCTCGAACTCACAGAGATCCGCCTGCCTCTGCCTCCCGAGTGCTGGGATTAAAGGCGTGCGCTACCAACGCCCGGCTTTTTCTCTGCCTTTCTTTTCTTCCCTTCTCCCTTCTTTCTCCCCAATGTATATCCATCCATCCATCCATCCATCCATCCATCCATCCATCCATCCATCCATCCAGTAATTGACCTAAAGATCACTGATTTTTATCTACAGCCCTTTAAATTTTTTTATTAGGAGACAGGTCATTTTGGGTCAGGTCTAGACTGGTGTTGAACTAGCAAACCTCATGGATTAGCTTCCTGTGTTGCTGTAATTACAGACATTTGCTGCCTTACCCATATTGAACTATGTTTTTATATGTAGCTTTTTCCGCAATGCTGCATTCGTTTGTGTGTGTGTGGGGGGGATAGTACTGAACTAGTTATTATAGCATATGCAACATTAATCGGGAAGCTTCATAACTCTAAGCTTTCATTTGATAAATGTGGTCACAGAAGTATTTGCTACATTAAGAACTCTTCAGTTAATGTAAAACAATATAAAAAAGACTGAAAACATTGCAGCATGTGTATATTAATATAAAATATTTTAGTAACTTGAAACAAAAACAAAAATCATGAAATCTAGTAAGGACTTAAACATGTCATTTCCCCCACCATTAATGGATACTGAGCTCTTACATCATATTGTTCTAGGTACTAATACTTATGACAAGAGATTTCTCAGCAGTTTGGACTGGTGGGAGAGACAGAAAGAGAGAAGACATTTCCCAAAAGTAAAATATATTATTAAGAAAATAAGAAAAACAAACAACAACAACAGAGCTAGGAAGTGGTGGCCCACATCTTTAATCCTAGCACTTGGGAAGCAGAGGCAGGTGGATCTCTGAATTCCAACCACCTTGGTCTAAAAGAGAAAGTTCCAGGACAGCCAGGGCCACACAGAGAAACCCTGTCTTGAAAAACAAAACAAGGGCTGGAGAGATGACTCAGAGGTTAAGAGCACTGGCTGCTTTCCAGAGGTTCTGAGTTCAATTCCCAGCACCCACGTGGTGGTTCACAACCATCTATAGTGGTATCTGATGCCCTCTTCCGCCAGGCTGGCATATATGCAGATAGAGCACTCATATACATAAATAAGTAAAAATTAAAAAGAAAAATCAAACAAAAAGAACCAAGTTTGGTGGCACATGCTTTTCAATCCTACCACTTTGGAGGCAGAGACATGCAGATCTTTGTGAGTTTGAGGTTAGCCTGGTGTACAAAGTGAGTTCCAGAACCATCAGGACTATGAAGTGAAACCCTGTCTCAAAAAAAGAGAGCTGGAGCGATAGCTTAGTCAGCAAAGGGCTACGGACCTGAATTCAGTCTGCAAACCATGTAAAAAGACCTGAGTGTGGTGCTTGTAATCCCAGGGTTGGGAAGGTGGAGACAGGGACATTTTAACAATGTAGCTTTTTAAACATAAGCTGAAGAGGGCACCAAGGGACATGTTTTCTTTAGTTTTTTTTTTTTTTTTTTGGAGACAGGGTTTCTCTGTGTAGCCCTGGCTGTCCTGAAATTCACTTAGTAGACCAGGTTGATCTCAAACTCAAGAGAGTCACCTGTCTCTGCCTCTTGAGTGCTGGGATTAAAGGTGTGCATCATCACACCCTGCTCACCAAGAGATATGTTAACATGGAACTATAGGCAATTAAACAATGCTGAGAGTAGGAGAAACAATATCACCGACGAGCACACCCATTGATTATCCAATACCAGATGGTCAGCCCTGAAAACTTCTTCATAGAAGTAACATTATACAGAGCAGGTGTGTGTATATACTTAAGACTCTATGCACACACACACACAAGCATTAACAAGAAAGCTATGAATTTGAAAGACGGAGTGAGGCATGGGAGGATTTGGAGGGAGAAAAGAGGAGTAAAAATGACAATTTCAAACATTTAAAACACACTTACCTTACACACTTTGAAATGTAATTTCTCAGTGACTCAAAATTGATCAAATTTAGCCGGGCGGTGGTGGCGCACGCCTTTAATCCCAGCACTTGGGAGGCAGAGGCAGGCGGATCTCTGTGCGTTCGAGGCCAGGCTGGACCGATAGCCTCCGAAACAATACAGAGAAACCCTGTCTCGTAAAAAAACCAAAAAAAAAAAAAACCCAAAAAAATTGATCAAATTTGATCATAATTTCAAAAAAGTAAAAAGATGTGATTCAGTTCTGATATGGGAGCTTTTTTGGGGTGGGGGATTCCAGACAGGGTTTCTCTGTGGCTTTGGAGGCTGTCCTGGAGCTAGCTCTCGTAGACCAGGCTGGTCTTGAACTCACAGAGATCTGCTTGCCTCTGCCTCCCAAGTGTTGGGACTAAAGGTGTGTGCCACCACCGCCTGGCTTGTTTTGGTTTTTAAAGAAAATATTGGTCATATTTTAAAGTTCTATTAGGTTCTGTGATATTTAAATTCTTAAATACTTTTCCTTTTTAGCGTTTTGTTTGTTTCTCCCCTGCCTCCCCAGTCAGGGTTTCTCTGTGTAGCCTTGGCTGTCCTGGAACTCACAGACATCCACCTGTCACTGGGACTAAAGTTGTGCACCACCACTGCCTGGCATTGTTTGTTTCTTCTTGAAGGTGTTTTTGTAATGAATAAAAATTTCTTCCTGGGTCAAGAGACTGTTTTTGTTGGGAATAACTTGTGGGTTGCTTTTTATTTTCTTCCTTGTGGGATTGCATCGGTTTTGGTCTGGATAGAGGCTTCCTCTGAAGTGTCTGTGTTTTTCTTGTGGTCTCTTGCAGTAGCGAACCGTAGTGATTTGATTCAGCTCACAAGTTCCTGGCAGGTCTCCTGATTGTTGCGCAGGGGTCTTGAGGGTCAGTGAGAAGCATCTGTCAGGTAGTGTCATAGTGAGGAAGCTCAGTATGTGGCTAAGGGAGCAGACAAATGTGTTCTGTACTTGGAACCACGTGTTTCAAGGGAAAATGCCCCAACTTTCCTTAAAGTAATAAATGGTGTTTTTAGTGGGTGGTGGCTCATGCCTTTGATCCCAGCACTTGGGAGGCAGAGAGGGGTGAATCTTACTTGTCTACAGAGTGAGTTAAACTTTTATTTTTAAGGAATTCCTTCAATGAGCAGGTATTTTTGTTTTTTATGTATTACTGGAGATTGACCTGAAGACACAAAGATTCATGACTGTTACTTTCCAGGTTATTTTTCATTAATCAGTTAGAGACTTTTTAGGGTTTGAGAAAAGTAATAGGATAAGAAAAAGACGTTCCATCTTTCCTGTTTGGTAAGTTTCTGTAGGGAATGTAAGATTTGTAGAGGAGGAAAAGGATAGGCTTTTAGAAGTAGAACTGACATGCTCATGAGTTAACCTGTGTGTCCCTTAATTCTGACGACCTTGTGTACAATGTTTCTCTTTTAAAGGAACCTTGAACATAACTTCAAAAGAAGATTTGGTTTTTACTTTTGGACTACATATATATTATAAGGCTACCAGAATGTCGGGAGCCTCAGTGAAGGTGGCTGTTCGAGTGAGGCCCTTCAATTCTCGAGAGACCAGCAAGGAGTCCAAGTGCATCATTCAGATGCAAGGCAACTCGACCAGTGAGTACAAGTTGTTTTCCATCAGAGCATAACTTACCTTCTCTTCCTTCTTCTCCATGTGCTTAGAATAAATGAACACCTGTGTCCTAACACTTTGAACTTTGCCATTCAGAATGACCTGTTAAATGTTTTCTACTTAGGACTATTTGCTTAAATATGGACTGTTTATTTCACTCTTTATAATTGAGAGAGCCTGAATAGCTTAAGTAATTTAGCTAGTGTTGATGGTACTTATCAATTTTACATGCTATGACAGTAAAGGTATAAACAGTGATTTTTACTAAATTCTGAAGTAAACTATAACTTTAAAGCCCCAAGATTGTTTTGATTTCTTTTATTAAATACAATTTGAGCTTGTTAAGGTATTCTTAAAATTTACTCTCTTAACTGGGTGGTGGCGGCACATGCCTTTAATCCCAACACAAGGGAGGCAGAGGCAGGTGGATTTCTTTGAAGTCGAGGCCAGCCTGGTCTACAGCATGAGTTCCAAGACAAAAAGAAAGAAAGAAACCCAAAAAACCCTTATTTTCTTGAGTTGAAATATTTGATTTGAGTGTTGCCTTTTTTTTTTTTTTTGGTTTTTCGAGACAGGGTTTCTCTGTGGCTTTGGAGGCTGTCCTGGAACTAGCTCTTGTAGACCAGGCTGGCCTTGAACTCACAGAGATCCGCCTGCCTCTGCCTCCTTGAGTGTTGCTTATAATTGTAATTTAGAGTAAACTGCCAGGCACGGTGGCACACACCTGTAAATCTTGGGGTATTGAGGCAGAAAGAAGTTTGAGACCAGACTGATCTACAGAGTTAGCTCCAGGCTAGCCTAGTTATATAGTGCTCCTATCTTGAAAAATAAAGTGTAGTCAACATACACTCAAAAAGTCGTTTCTTTCTACCTTGTTTAAGCTGTTTCCCTTGCACTTGTATTACTAAATTATTTTATATGGGGGTATAGGCAAAATATTATTTTAGATTGGAGTATACACTACTATCTTTTAGCCTCTACTTTGTAATAAAGCAGAGTTAAATTTTTGATCTCCTGAAACTAGAGTTACAGATGGTTGTGCTGGGACCTGAACCTGGGGCCTCTGCAAGAGCAGCAAGTATTCGTACTAAAAAATTAGTCTTAGATTGAGAGAGTACATATTCTCCCACCCTCTCCCACCTCAGGACAGGGGTTCTCTGTATAACAGTCCTGGCTGTCCTGGAACCTGCTTTGTAGACCAGGCTGGCTTCAAAGTCACAGAGATCTACCTGCCTCTGTTTCCTGAGATTATTGAGATTAAAGGCATGTGCTATCCCTTCTGGCCCATGGATAAGAGACAGCCATATGTGTTAGCTGCTCAAAGGCTGTTATGCTGTTAAACTGGCCTGCCTGGTGACAACAGGGTTACAGTTCGTTTCAGGTGGAGTACAGTGAAGTGTGGAGTGTCCCATCTATAATATCGTTACCAAAATGTAGAAAAGCATAAATAATGTTTTGGGGAATATGCAAAATCTGAAAGCCTATTTGTAGCCTTTTGATTTTTAAGTGCCCTGTGGTTTCAGGAAGTACTTTCTGGCACAGACAAATATTGCTGCCTTAAATACTTTGAGTCCTGAACACAGACAGATGACTGCTCAGTAATATCCATTTATATTTCATATTTCTTCCACTTTAGAAGCATTTTTTATTGGTCTAATTACTTGGTAAAAAGGAAAATGGGTCAAATGTAATGATTTAACTTTTGACTTTGATGTTTAAGTTATCTGTGTAAATTTGGAGACAGGGAGCATACAGATTCCCTCAGACAAAGGAGATAGATAGAGCTGGTTTTCTCACAAGGTGTAAGATTGAGTTGTAATATTTTGCTTTGTATTTCATAGAATTCTGTCTTGCATTTGGGTAAATCTATTTATTTATCATGTTTTTCTTTGCCTAGTATCTTAGAATCTTTATTCTTTATGCTTAAGCTCAGTGAGATAGAAAGTAATTTGGCTTTTTTTGTCATGATTACTTACTACCTTTTTAAAAGGCTTTCCCATCCACACATGCATATCATAGCTGGCACAGAGGATGTCCCATGTCTACTTACTGAAAGCATGGGTATTTAGAGGGCATGACCAGTATGGAGATTTGAAAAAGACTGGTATAGAATAGAATGCCTTTATCCTATTGTTTTGCTATTTTGAGACAGGTGGCATTCTGTAGCCTAGGCCTGTCTTATAGGCTTGTACCTCAGTCTGCTGGGTGCTGGAATTACAATTGTGAGCCATTGCACACTGGCAGGAAGGAGCGCTCTTAAATTTGTATGCTTTTTCTATCATGAACTCATCTTAATTAGTCATACAAAAGAGAAGTTGGGTACATTGTGCCTGTCCACAGCAGAAGTTGGTGTGTGTCTTCTAAGGCTCAGCCTTGCCACATAGCCTGTTTCTTCTGAAATCTTCCTGGGACTTCTAATTTACCAAAACCAGTATTATTTTTGTCACATACAAATATGAAATATGTCTCAACATGAATGTTCAAGTAATCAAATACAGTAAGACATTTAAAGCAAATGCTCCTTCCTTTTCCAGAGGGATGAATCTTTACTTCTAAACCCATATATATATATATATATATATATATATATATATATATATATATATATGATTAAATGTTTCTCACAAGTAAGACAATGTCCAGGTCCTATCCTGCATTGTCGGTGGCCTTCTCTTTTCTCAGTAGTGTCAGGTGTTGGAAGGACTGTGATCTTCAAGGCCTTGGCTACTGATTTTGTGGTGAACCTTTCTCACTCTGGCCCTTCTTCAACCCCTCCAAGTTTGTTTATTTATTTACTGACTTAAATTTGTTTATCTGTGTGTGTGTGTATCTGTGCGAGTCTCTATGTGTGTCTGTGTGTGTCTCTGTGTGTGTGTCTATGTAGGTATGGAGTTGGAGGACAACTTTGTAGATTTCTTTTTCCTTTCATTTTTATGTGAGTTCTGGAGCTTGAACGGAGGCTCTCAGGCTTGCAGGGCGAGCACTTTATGCTCTGAGCCATCTTGCTGACCTTGTACCCCATATTTGTTGCTTTTTTCTTCTAGGATAGAGTTCAGGGTCATAGAGAAGGGCAGTAGATTGTGTTCTCATTTATAGACAGGATGTCAGGAACATCCCTTTCTCCTGCTTGCCTTTCCTTTTTTAATTTTGAGACAGTGTGTAGTGGAGGATGGTCTTTAATTTCAGCTTGTTTCTGATCCCACTGTTCCACTTTCTGAATGTTGGAATTAGAGGCATGCCTTGCTCTGCCTTGTGTATAGGGTACAGGGGGACCAACTGGGGCCCTGTGTATGTTAGGCAAGAACTCTGCTGAGTGACATCCCTGAACCTTGTATATTTCTTGTTTTTTATTTTGCTTTAAATGTCTTACTGTATTTGATTACTTGAACATTCATGTTGAGACATATTTGTATGTGGCAAAAATAATACTGGTTTTGGTAAATTAGAAGTATTTCTTCTGTGTTCTATTTCTATTTATCTATTTGCTCTGAAGGGTTGGTTGGGTTTATGAACACAGATTAATATAATATCAGTGTTGGGACCTGTTTTTTTGGTGTGTGTGGTCTGTCTTGTGTTTATTTAGAAGTTCCTGCTGTGGAGCTCTATTTATAGCACTGCATTGAGGAAGAGAGATGATGTATCTTTTGGCTGCTTCTACAAACAAAAGAGGATTCTTTTGATTTAACAATCACTTTGCAGCAGTAATTGCTGTCAATGTTGTAATTGTTTTCATTATATTAGGAAAATACTGAGTAGTGTTAGAGTAGTTATTCTATAGATATTGTGGTATTTATCCATATACATACTACATATTATTTGTGTGTGTGTGTGTGTGTGTGTGTGTGTGTGTGTGTGTGTGTGTGTGTGTGTGTAGGTCAAAGGACAACTTAGGGAGGTGATTCCTTCTTTCTACCTCGTGGGTTCCAAGGATTAAACTTGGGTCATCAGGCTTCATGGCAAACTCTTTTATTGAGCATCTAGCCAGCTCTGGGCATCAGTCATTTCTCAGCAGACCAGAAGTAGCATGCTCAGTTTACTCTCTCAGGGTTCCTTCATCTGGCTGTGAGGATCCTCTTCACTGCCCTACTGCAGGCCTGGCCTTAGGGCAAGGTGCCCACGTACAGGCTTTACTTTGTATGGCAGTCTCATAAATTTGTAGGAATTCTGAGGTTGTTTCATATATGTTGTACAATAAAGTGTTCAATAAATAGAATTTGTTTTACCTTTCTCTTTGTCATGATAGATAAACATCCCCCATACCCTCCAAACAGGGTTTTTCTTTGTAGCCTTGACTCTGCTGGAACTTGCTCTATAGACCAGGCTGGCTTCAAACTCAAAAAGATCTGCTCGCCTCTCTCTGCCTTTCTAGTGCTGGGAGTAAAGGCCTGCGTCACCACCTGGCTCTCATTTCTTGAGTATTCTTCAAGACCATGATTTCATCCAGGCTTGATGACTTAGACCTGTAATGCCAACCCTAGGGAAAGGTTGAGGCAAGAGATCTGGATTTTCAGGTCAGGCTGGGCTACTTAATGAGTGTGAGGCCAGTCATAGCTGCATAATGAGAACCTGTCATAAAACAGAACAATGTGATTCCAGAGCTAGATGTTGCTAATGTCTTTCCAACCTTCTGTTCTAGGACTATTTGCAAAGATCAAATAGAATGATGTATACTTGTAGGATGAAATTTGAAAAATAATTTTTGTGGTTAATCTTAGTACCAAAGTTATTTTCAGTCAGAGTTTTGGTTTATTTAATTTTGATTTTTCAAGACAGAGTTTCTCTTTGTAGAACAGCCTGGCCTTGATCTCACAGAGATCCACCTGACTCTGCCTCCTGAATGCTGGGATGAAAGGTGTGTGCCACCACCCCCGGCTCAGTTTAATTTTTTAATTAATTTTTACTTCATGTTCATATTTGGTGTTTTGCCTGCATGTATGTCTGTGTAAGGGTGACGGATCCCCTGGAACTGGAGTTACAGACATTT